CAATGACAGTAGATAATAAAATTAATAGTTTTCTATTAAAATACTATAATATATACTTTACAAATAATATTATTGTAATTATTTACTTAATTATTAAAGATAATTGTCATTAAAATAAAATCATATGCAAAAAAGAACGGAATATTTGTAATTTATCAAATCATAAAATTCACAATATATAACATAATTCTTATTTGCTGCATAGTAATATTTTCTTCTTCCTTGTTTAGTTACAAATTACATTCTTTATTTTAAGAGTAATTTAAATCGGCATTTAATACTGTTTAGCAATAAAACTTGAGAACAAGGAAAAAGTTTTCATTTGCAGAATGAAATTCGAGTTTATTACTTCAATATTATTATCGTTTTATTGTCACTTCGGTTATCCATTATTGTCTAGATAAACACATAGTACTTTAAGTCGTAAAGTTAAAGAGAACTCGACAGAGACTTATATGTCATCCACAGCAATGATAGACCGATGATGCTGCGACATCGAGCGTATTTCGATTGTATACGTGTAATACCACATACATGTTACACAACGACGTTTCTAACAATATTTAAATGAGATACAATGTGGAGATTAGGATGAAACTGAATTCGCGTTATCGCCATGGAGCTCGCAAGCTCTCTGAGCACTAATTTGGCATTTACATCATACATGTTACTACGCTCACGGAGATTATTTCCTGGCTTCTCGATCTTGCACGCATGTGTGCGAACGATCGAAAGTTTCATGACTCTAATCATAGGACTTCGAGAAAATATTGAAGATGACGAGACAAATATTCGTAGACAAGGAACGAGAATGGCACCGCAAAATAGTACTACATATTTTAGTTCGTTATAAATGCCTGTCACTTTTTTTGTTTTCCAGTTTTAAAACGTTTTGAACGCTTCTGCGAGTGCAACGTTCTTAATTAAATTTATGAAAAAGACATTCATATAATAATGCCATTTGTAAAAATGGAAATTGTTAATTCAGATATATATAGATTGTAAGTTTTATGATCTAATTCTATAAAAGACAAAAGATAAAAGAGAAGCGTGTAATTAACTTCATATTTTTCATAAATTTTTTTCCAAATTTTAAAATGAAAAGAATTGGAAATTACTTTATTATGCCAATGAAGCAATAGTTATACTTGATATGCTTTAAGCGGTTTTTAAGCAATTAACAAATGTAATGAATATCTATATATTCGTTGCATCTGACTCTTACATCACAACTATCTAAAATCACGTGACGAGGAAAAATACTGATCGTAACATGGTGAGAAATATCTGGAGAATGACGAATAATCTTTTTCGATTAGCTAATGGTCGTCGATATTATATCGTATTTCGCAATTGTAAGTTACTCTTTTTGCGAGTAACATACCATTTTTTTTAATACTTCGACGACAATTTACGTTTTCACCAAGTAATAATCGTCAAATTGACAAATGCGAATTTTTTATCTTTTTTTTGTGATCTTACATTTCGTCACGGCCGCCGTGTAAAATATTTCGATCTCGCAATGCTTTACTGATGAAGCCTGAGCTAAATAATAATTATCAAACTAACATATAGCTTCTCTCGCGATTGCACTCGTTTAAATGGGAAATTGATCAAAGAATAAAATATTTCAACCTCGCGATAATTTATTAAATTAACGGCTAAATTGATTTTTCATTCCCTTTTTGTTGTTTATACACACACACACACACACACACACACACACGCGCGCGCGCGCGCGCGCGCGCACGATGAACATCCAAAAGTGATTTATTAATAATACCGATATTAAATGGCGTTACTGATCAGAGATCAATGTCAAATCGCAAACCGTGAGCTGATCGATCATTGTTATATATTATTTCGTTCGATCATGGATATTTCTCGCCTTGCTTCGAAAAATACACGAATTACAAAAACTGGCAGATACGTCTGCTGTACATCGATTAAAAGGAGGCATACAAATATTAAGAGAAACATACGTGCTTACAGAAATTTGTAAATTTAGAGATTATCGAAGACAAGTCCTTTACATAACATTCAGAAACTTGTAACTGTGGAGGAAAATCTATAGTTTATTTTTGAGCGAGAAAAATTTGCTTTCTTTTCCAGATATATGCTTTTCGCATAACGGTTTAAAATCTGTTCGAAACAGACGGCACATTTAAGGCGTCATTAGGATTACGTGAAACTATTATTGTCGGCGAGCAGTAAACTTATTGTCCATCGACGGATCTTGCGATAAGATTCAATTCTTCTCAATGAGTCTCTATGTGAATCAATCTCTGTGAAATTAGTCGCTGATTAAATTGCGTGACGGAATTGAGGACTTTTCCACTTCCATTACCGTTTCTAATTTTGATCAACTTTTTTCTCTTTTTTTTTTTTAGCAATTTTTTGTGTAATATTATTATTTTAATTCGCTGGATTACTTAAGAGATCATTAATGGTCGAGACATATATATTCGTAGATATCTACCGTTGACAAGGGATAATCAATGGCCAATAAGGAAGAACGTCAGACACAAGATCCGAATATTTACATCCGTTTCCTCTCACTCCCCTTACGATTCGCTGAGTAAAACGTGTGAGTCCAATATATAACGTAATTTGTACGGTATCGTCGCCCTGGACGAACAGAGAGGCGAGGCGAGGGTTTTTACATAGAATGGGACACGATGCGAGAGTTTGACGTTCGCAGGAAGTTATCGATGTCCGGTAACAGGAACCTCTTGAAGCCATGTCGACAATCTCCGTGCAGGCGATGCAGGGACTGCAGGTAGCGGGTTTTCGGGATGAACGGTCTTAGCGACCGAGTCTTAGCTGACGCGAGGGGGGTGTAGTTGGACGAGGACCCATCTGCGGGATCCTCCCTGAAATTCATTTGCACTTTCGTTACGTTTTGCAGAATACCGATCGTTTGACAACCATATACAATTGGATCAATTCTAAACATATAACAAATCGATATTGATAGCGTCAGCACGAACACTTATTTGATGAAAATGATAGTAGAAAATTGATAAAAACGAAAGTTCATTCATGCAGCTGTTGATTATTTGTAAAAATTTCAAATTTTTTTCTATAAAAACGCTTTACTTTATAGAAAAAAAATTGATTAGTGTAGAGAAGAATAAATAACAATATATGTATATATATGTACAATATAAACATTTATATTATTAAAATAATTATTGACGTTTTTTCCAACTCGAAGATTCCAGAAAAACCGATAGCGCAGAAACGTTCAACATAATTGAACATTTAACACCAATGAAATGTACAAGTATTTTAGCAATAGTTTTTAATCCTATCAATTACACGAGTTACCATTTTGCTGAAAACTCACATAATGTCGCGCAAACCATTAAAATAAAAATGAAATAATATAAAAATCGTTTTGATGTAACATTGCATTTTTTAACATAATCTGGAAAAGTGCCGCACGGTACTCATGGTTCCCAACAATTAAGTTTAATAATAATTCGAAGGTTGTAAATATAGAGAGACTGAAACTTTAAATAAATCTCTTTATTGTTCGTGATTTTTCGAATAATTGAATAATTAAACGTATTTTAATAACATTTTTAGTAATTAAATACATTTTTAAAAGAATAAAATTAATTAATGTTGAGAACCATTCGATAAGAAACATTAAGAATTACTAACTAGAATTACTAACACCGAATAAACGTGGCAAACTATAACACCGATTTTACGCCGTCTAATCGTCTAACATCGATCAACTACCAGCATTCTAATGATCTAATATGTAGTCTCTAACAGCGAGACGTTGTATTACATCGAAACATTGTACACCCAACTACCGTGATGAGTCCCGAGATGATAGTAGAAGAAGAAGACACAATTGGAGAGAACGTTTTATTTTGTACGTGGTGATTTGTAGGTGGTTGTTGGTATTTGGTGGGTAATCATTGACGTGACGTGACGTGACGTGGCTGATAAATCTGTTGGTACTGGCACACACATAGATATGACATATTTTCTCAATCTGTAGGTAGAGCTCTACTTGAGTACAGGTACTGGCAAAACGGTTGACATATCACACCGAGGTAGGAGAAGAGGGCACGGCGAAGGATAGAAAGATAGAGAAACAGAGAGCGGCTGCCTAATGACCTGACCTTTCGACCAGATATCGCGGTGACCGAGAGAATCGTGATGCACGGAACGACGGGAGCCAGCCGAGGCGTGCGAGGGCTCCGATATGTCTCTTACTTGGTTGCAATACTTCAGTGTAGCCCGAGTCGGCCGGCATCTCCGGCGAGGAACCTGTTCTCGACAGAGTTTATAGTTGACAATAGACGATGTCGATTTGTTCGCTGCCGTTTTTTTCCTACGCTATTGTGAAATTTTGAAGGTGAATGAGCAACGATGCACTATGGATGCGTGCAAGAGAAAAAAAATTTATTGAATTGTGATCCCGCGATTAATGCGGATTCTTCTAGCTGACGGACCAATCGGCAAATTTAAATATTGATCAACAAAAAGAAAGAAAATACGATTTGAATTTTACTCACGTAAAACAGAAGCGCGATAAATTCGCGATAGTGCTATGACATTTGATAGCCTTCGTTCGCGTTATAAATGTAAAATCGGGTTTAAGGTTAATAAGGGATTGTCATCACTTAATAACGCCCGAAATGTCGCGTGTCACGCATAGTATAAATATAAAATAAATTCTGTGGGAGTTTATTTTACATTTATCTCTCGTGAAGATCAATCCTTAGATGAATACCAATCAAAATATCGGATATTTCTAATTTTACTCACCCAGGAACCTCTTCTCCGCATTCGGATAATGATCAGCGAGTGTCTCGATGTCCTCATAATCGAGTATGTTAGTATTCTGCACGACAGGCAGCGGATACTCATCGGAAAAGTCGATCTGTCGTTTGTGCCTCGTTTGTGAAGTCGTTGCGTCCATCCTTCTATTTGATCTGTTCTTCGCCCTGCTGTCGTCTAGCTCCTCCGAGATGCTGAAGAGTGTGGGCCAATCCCCGGCAACGTTCGCTTTAGCATCATTCTCGTTGTGATCTTGTTTGATAAGTTGCTGGAGGTCCAAGGGCTCACTGGATGTCTCGTGATCATTCAAGGATCTCCCGTGACGGTTGAGCACTCGAGCGATCATCCTGCCTGCACCCGCGGTGCCGCCTCGTTTCATAAAACCGGACCAGTCAGCATTTCTAGCCAATGATGCAATGTTGCGCTTGCCCTCGTCGTATCCACGGACCGGATAACCGCCATTTCGGACCAACGCACCGAGATATCGCTTACCGTAGGGCAGAGAGGAATCCCTGGCTAGCGCGGCGACGTTTCTCTTACCATTCTGCGGCAGCATGGAGTCTCTCGCCAGAGAAGCGACGTTTCTTTTACCGCTTATAGGCAGCATGCTCTCCCTGGCCAGAGAACCGATGTTTCTCTTGCCGCTCATCGTACTGTAATCGCGAAGCACCGAGCCGATGTGACGTCTACCCGTGGGTAATGCAAAGTCCCGCGCCAAAGCGCCGACGTTACGTTTGTCTAACGGATACTCGATCAATTCTGGGTCCAGCTCAACTTGGTAATCGTAGATCCCGGGTATTCGTCGACGATACTCGTCGCCCATCGATGCACGCACTAGCTCCTCTAGATTATCACTTAATTCGACAAATTAATTAATTCAGGTAACTGAATAAATATGACATAGTGGGGGGGGGGGGGGGGAGAGTAATATTTTTAATAATAAAATTATAGTATGAGATTATAAAGTTATTAAATGGTATTTCATAACAAGAGTCAAAAGATCATTAAAATGCAATACGATTTCTAATTCTTTTTTATTTTTATTGAGACATATCTCTTTTTGTATGGAAATTTTAAATATTTCCTGTTCAGAATTATTATAAGTTCAGGAGAATCAAAAAAATCTCAAATTATATACCTAGGTATATTGATATTCCTTTTTTCCTCGTCATCGCCATCATCCTCGCGCTCCTGTACGATAAATGGTAGATCATCGTTTTTGGCCAAAGTAGCAAGACTGCGTTTTTCCGATTCGGGAATCAAATCCCGTGCTACGAGATGTCCACGAATCGCAAGATCCCTGAGGAGCTCCAGATAGATATCACTAGGTATACAGATTTCAGCGTCATCACTTTCCTCGGAACTAAGAGCTTTCAGATGAGCCATGTCGTTATGATTTTTCGCCTCCTGAATTATCCTCGCCGTCCTCGAATATGCTGCCAGATTTGAATTGACTTCCGGTAAACGCAACAACGTCAGGAAGATCTTCTTTGGTATGCATTGGCTGCCTTCTTCGTCTTGACATGTCACCTGGAGCGAAACGTGATCGGTTACGGATCAATAGGTCCTCTTCGCATCTTACTTTTTGCACAAAAGAATTTAGCACTTTATTCATATTCTTCAATATTCCTTTATTATATACGTCGATATATATATATATATATAT